AAAGCTCTGTGGGTCTTTTTCTCTCTCTCACTGGAGCATGTTAACCCTATTTCACCGGTTGAATTTGCTCATAATTATGATATTATTATGTCCCAGCCCGGAAGCATGGGATGTGGTCTCTGGATGACATTCTTTTGACCACTGCTGTCGGGACTCTGAGGAGTTCAGCAGTGGTTTAGCTGCTCCCTGCAGTCAGGAGGCGCTGCATTTGTCAGCTTATACCGAGCTGTTTATCGTGCTGTGGAGAGGCTTCACATACAAGTCATGCAGAACAACTTCAGTGCTGATTGGTAAATCTTATTTGGCTGCCAGTCAGGCTGGTGTGGTGCTGCATACCATGGCAGTTCTGCAGGCCTAACAAGCAGATTTCCTTAAGGACATGGTTAATCCTGAGCTGCAGGATGAGGGAAAGCCTGGTTTTGAGACGAGATACTCTCCCCTTTGGAGAAAGGAGCCATAAAGGAAGTGCCTCATTGTAGGAGGGAGTCTGGCTTTTACCACTGGAACTTTCTAGTGCTGAAGAAGAATGGAGGTCTGCATCTCATTTTAGACTTGCATCAACTGAACCACACTGCAGGATTGTTAAGTACACGTATATTGACACTGAAGAACATGTAGATGATAGAACATAGATCTGAAGGATTCTCATTTCCACATTCAGATCATTCAGAGACAGGAAGTTTCTCAGGTTCACTTCTGGAGGCAAAGCATACCAATTTTGAGTACTTCCTTGGCTTAGAATTGCACCTTGCACATTTATAAAGTGAATGGATACAACTGTGGTGCCTCAGGGAGGGCGGCATCAGCGTCAGCAGATAATAAATTGGTGTGTTTCTGTATAGGCTTAAGACAGCCACTACAGGAGGTGTTCTCATAGCATCAGCTGTCGACACATTGTTACCTATTCAGGGAACCAAGGTTACATACGTAACTGAGATGTTTCTTTTGTAATTTCGTCTGGCTCAACTAGACATTGGTGGGTGGAGTTAGAGTAAATAGCCTTAGCCATCAAAGTGGGCTATTTGCACTTGTGTAAAAAGTGTAAATAGACACTCCATATTTTTCTATTATAACAGACATTATGCGACAAATGCTATCCAACTTTAATTGTATTGACATGGAACATTCCATTTTAGTCAACATGAAATCAAAATGGAACCTACAGTATTTACTTTCTTAATAGACTCAGTATTGTTGTTTTCTTTTCTTAAATTTTCATCAAATGTAATGACCCTCTTCACCTCTGAAATTATTTTTGTTTTCTGCTGATGTAAGTAAACCTGTGTGGCTGGTGAAAAATAGTATTAATCAATAAAATTCCATACTTACATGTTTCAATCTAATCAAATCCTGATGGATAGAATTATTTTCTCAGAATATTCAAATAACATGACGTGTTTTGAATGCTGTTTTTGGTTTTAATGTCTCACCACACTCACCTGACATGGTCCTGTAGGTGGTGTCCTGCTGGTGTTTGGGGCTTTGATTACTCTTGAGTCCTGCTGGCAAGCTGCCCTGGAGAGCTGCGGGACTCAACATTCCAGTTGGCTTTTGGATGAAGGCAGGAGTGCAGCCGATGGCTCCAGCAATGCAAGTGCACTTGTAGAGTGGGCTGGGCTGGAAGGCCTGTCCGTTATCATAGTGAGCCCCATTCAGGTCACAGCCAACCCCCATCATGTCTGCAAAAATATGCAGGATTGACTATGGAGTACAAAAAAATAAAACTTAATTCAAGCTATCCACTTGTGGTCATAAGGTCAAAAAAAACTTTCCTCCTAACTAAATTAAAAAGAGGGAATTAAGTAGTACAATGTGGCCACAATTTACCTAAAACAAGGGAACAAATGATTATAATGTGGCCACAAAATAAACATTGTAGGAATGGATTCTTCATTTGTGGTCACAATATTTTTTTCCTTATATCATGTGTGTGGATTCTTATTACAGCACTGTATTCTCTAAAAACAGTTTAGCTTCTCAAGTAAATGTTCTTATTTTAAAGATGTTGTGATGTTGATTGTAACTACTACACATGGTTTTTCATAAAACGCTCACTCACAAGCACAGACGCCAACTTCATAACGCGGCTGGTCTTTGGAAAAGTCACAGTACATGCTTTTGTGAGGGTCACAGACGTCCCTCTCATTGCACGATTCCCCAATCTGCCGTGCACATGTTTTACAGCACCCGCAGCCATCCAAGATGGAGCTGACTCCAGGGGCACACGGCGGCCGCACACCACATTTACACGGCCAGCTACAGAACTGCCTCCTCTCCACCAGGCCCGTCGCTTCCCTCTGCTTCTGCCTGCTATCAGCACCCTGCAATACATGCAAAAAGAAAATAAAACCCTGGAATCAAAGCTATCATAAAATCACATTCATATCATAAAGATAGTCTCATGATTCTATCACCTCAATGGGCTAATTTGTAGTTACTTGTGAAAGAATCATTAGTATCATGCTCTTATTCTTTGGTATTCTTTTCCTTGCCATGCTCTCTTGTTTTAGTCTTATGGTTTGTGTTTAGAGATCAATGGCTATGTTTACATGCAACCAAATGATTCGTTAATTGGGTTGACGGCTTAATCGGACTGAAAAGCCTTCATGAAAACACCTTAATCGATCTGATTGAGCTCGATCTGAATGAAATGTGTGGTTTATTCCTTTTCTAATATGATTGAGAGTGCATGTAAACATTTGATCGGATTGAAAACTGAAACTGAAAGAACTGTGCATGTGCAATGATTTTCTCAAATGTCAAAAAAATCAATTCCGATTTGAAGCTTGTGACATATAAA